CCAAACCTGGACCTCATAATCACCTAGAATTATTATACTTCTAAATCTTAAACTCTCACAACCATTCTATGACCCTAAGCCTTCTAGTGCCTTGAATCTGTCCCTCTTCTTTACCCATTTAAACTAACTCTGTCCGTGGTGGATCATTTGCTCTACTCTCGTTAGTACTCTCAATTTCCCTGTACTCACAACAACCTTCTGCTAAAACCACATCCAAATGTCAATTCTCTAAATGCTCATTTTCTCTGTTCCTTTGATAGGCAGTTGAGCATCCCAGGAGAGAATATAAAAAGCTAAGCGAATTGCTTTGCTACATCTCATAGATTTATATTTGGGCTGGGCTCTCAGTATAATCTGTCAATCCTTTTGTTTATTTATGGTTAGTCCTCTTTTCTATTGCTGTCAATGATATTCCGGGCTTTCCTAGTTTCTTAAAAATCCCATGTTGCCCTAGCCAGATTGGCTCAGTGGATAGAGTGTGGGCCTGTGGACTGAAGGGTCCTTGGATCTATGCCTGTCAAGGGCATGTACCTCAGTTGCAGGCTTGATCCCTGGCTCTGGATGGGGGCCTGTGCAGGAGGCAACTAATCGATGTGTGTCTCTCACATCGATGTTTCTCTCTCTCACTGTCTCTCCTCTTCCCTTCCACTCTCTCTAAAAATCAATGGAAAAATATCCTCGAGTGAAGATTAACAAAAATAAAATAAAATAAAATAAAATAAAAAAATAAAATCCCATTTTGCCTTTACTAGTTCTTCCTTTGCTGCTTGGTCACTTATTGGTAGAGTCTGGAAGGTTCAACCTTGGATCTCTTTTTTTCCTGTTTGTGGAATTGCATCTAGTCTCATGGTTTTAAATACTATGTATAGGTTAACAACCCTAGTAATTTAATCTCCAGCACAGACTTTCCTCTAAACTTGACTCCCTATACACAGTCTACTTGGATGTATATTTCAAATTTGATCTTTATTCTCAAATAAGCTTTACTTATTGTTTTCCCCATCTAGTGAATAATAACTCATGTTTTAAGAAATTACTGACATCAAAAATGTTGGCCTGGTCTTGACTCTTGTCTATCTCTTATATCCTACATCTAACTTTTCAGCAATTTATAAGATTTTCCTTGAAAATATAGCCAGAAACTTACACTTCTGATAACTATTACTGCAGCAACCTGAGTGCAAGCTACCATTTTCTCTCCCATGGGTGACTGCAATAGCCTTATAGCTAGTCTTCATAGCTTATAACTATTGGAAATACTATATATTTTACAGATTTTTTTTTTTACTCTTCTGTTCACTAGAATGTAAATTCCATTAGGGTAGAGATTTTTGTTCACTGTGATATTACCAATCCTACAGTAGTACCGCACAGTGAATAAGCATTTGATAAGACCCTGTTCAATAAATGAAAGTAAGTATAAGTAAGTAAAATGTTCAAGTGAGGATTGTTTTTAGTAGGAACGTAGTATCAGGACTGAAGGCCACATAAAATGACAAAGATGTAGGTGAGTGAATAGATGTGTGTTGGGGACCTTGGAAAATCTTCTCTGATTGCTTTCATTATCTTAATGGAATGAGAAACAAAGTCATCAGCTCAGAGTAAGACTATGGGAGATGATGGGGGTTTGAAGAAAGAAAAAAAGATGTGAATTTTCTAGGCAAGTGGAAGAGTGAATGGGCTGTGGAACCATAGTATGATTACAGAGCAGCACCGAAGGGCCTGCTTGAGGCTCAGAGTCAGAAATTTGAAGTGAAACCAGTAAGCACAGTCATGTGATTTTCCATAACCACATTCACCTCTGTGGTCCATGGGAGAATAGGTACGGGGTCAGACTTAGTGAGGACTGTGATTTACCCACACAGGGATGACAGTGTGAGAGAGGTAAGACATGTAAGGGGTATGCAGGGGAGTAGTTGTGGTAAATGCAGTCATGTGATAAATGCATGCTGATTATAAAGAAGAAGTATGAGAAAACATAATGTTGGAAGAATCAGTAGCATTTCATTCGGTTGGGATCCCCGAAGTGTTGGAGTTGGAAAACTGGAGTGAGTGATACAGGAAAAAAAGAAGGGGTGGTCATAGAATGAGAAAAACAAAAATATGGAGGGACCGTTGCTTTTGGTCTAGTCTAGGAATGTGAGAGGCAAGGAGAGTAGAGGTCAAGGCAACACAATACTAGAAATATTATCCATGGAATCTATATATAAAAAGCCAGCCACTGTAAGTAATGCTGTAATGACCATAATGACTGGTCGCTATGATGCCCACTGTGGTCAGTGAACCGGCTGGATCAGGGGGTGGGGCTGGCTGGCCAACCTTGCAGCCCCTCCACCCTGATCAACGGTGGGCCACTGGCCAAACACACCTTCCCCTTCCCCTTGGCCGGCCCCACCCCTGATAACACCCCCTAACCCAATAGGGGGTGGAGCCAGCCAGCCAACCTCCTGCAGCCCCTCCCCCAGCTGGCTCCATCCCCTATGAGCCCCTGCCACCCTGATCAGCCCACAGCCCCTCCCCTTGGCCAGCCCCGCCCCTGACCGCACCCCCCACCCCATTAGGGGGCGGGGCCAGCTGGCCAACCTCCTGCAGCCCCTTCCCCCACCTGGCCCCACCCCAGATCGGCCCCCCACCATGATCAGGGGCAGGGCCAGCTGGTCAACCACCCATGGCCCCTCCCCCAGACCCCTGGCCCTCAATCGGCCCCCCAACCCCAATCAGGGGTGAGGCCCGCTGGCCAATCACCTGTAGCTCCTTCTCCCAGCTGGCCCAGCCCTGATTGGACTCTGATGGGGACAGGCTTGCTGGCCAACCTCCCACCATCTCCTCCTCTGGACAGGCCCAGCCCTAATCCGCCCCAATTGGGGCCGGGCCGGCCGGACCCCACCTGTGCACGAATTCTTGCACTGGGTCTCTAGTATAAAATAATGAAAAACATAGTGTAAGAGGTAGTAGATTGAGCCAGGAACTTAATCTTTAAAGAAAAGAGTTTGATGTAGGTATGAACAGGTAACTATGACAAGGAGAAGTAGCAAGTGTTCTAGATAGATGACACAAGATTCAAAGCTGGAAATTTTTAGGTAAGAGTAAGGAAGAAGACTGGTCTGGAAGCATTAAAAAGGAGTAAGGAGCACACCTATTCTACTTCCATGTCAGTGTGAGAGGAAACAGCTACCACTGAGAGAGCTTCTTGGGAAGGAGAGTCCTTCAGAGGGAACCATGGTTTAGTGAGAGCTAGAATATTTAGGGAAGAAGTTAAGAGTATGAAGGATTTTGTGATGGCTGACTGAATCCCAGACAGTGTACAGGGAAAGTATATCAAGAGTTGGAGCATGGTATAAGATGGGAACAAAACTAGGGTTGTGCATAGCATATAGAGATTGAGGGATGATGCAGAGGTCTGGATTTTCACAGGGACAGAAGGGATCAGAGTTAAAATCCAACTTGCCCAAGGCATAGAAAGGTAGTACAGCTTGAATGGAATGGAAAGTAGGGATCTTGCCAAGGCATATCATTCATATATATATATATATATATATATATATATATATATATATATATATATATGTATATGTATATATATTATTGATTTCAGAGAGGAAGGGAGAGGTAGAAACATTAATGATGAGAACCATTGATTGGTTGCCTCTTGCACGCCTCCTATTGGGGATTAAGCCTGCAACCCAGACATGTGTCCTTGACTGGAATTGAACCCTGGACCCTTCAGTCCGCATGCCAACGCTCTATCCACTGAGCCAAACAAGCTAGGGCCATATCATATATTTTGTGACAGAGGCATGGAGGCAGCAAAGCAGCGGTGTCACTCTGACTCGATGGGGGTTGATTCTGTCACGTACATTGATTATATAAAAAATGATTTCCCCTCACCTTCCCACTTCCCCACTCCATCAGATGTATGAGCTTTTCTTTATCTTAATTCACTTTCTTTGGACTCCAAGGAGGCCATGAACCTGTTTTTTTGTTTTGTTTTGTTTTGTTGTTTGTTCGTTTGTTTTTGTTTCTGTAACTTATTCTGCCTGCTCCCTCCAAGATCTTGCTCTGCTTTTATTTTCTACTGGTTCCTTCCTTCAGTACAGACATGTTCAAGTCTATCCCATTACAGACCAAAAGGCACCTTTTTGACTCTGCTTCCCTGTCTGACTACTCTTAACCTTTCTCCTTACTTCTCATCCAAACTTTAAAAGAGAAATCGATCGTACCATCTTCTTTTTCTCCCTTTTCATTTAATCCTCAGTTGATTGCTGTTGGCTTTCTGTCCTTTCTCTAGTCTTGTGTCTTTCAAAACCAGAATTATCTATTTAAAAATCTCGTGTGAATATGTCATTTCCCAATCTTTAAAGGTTCTCTGTTGACAATAAGTAGGACACAATGAAAGCTTGATCTACCCCCCACTGCTGCTTTTTCCCATGCTTTCTCTCTGCTGGTTGTCTCAGCCCAGGACCAATGAGGGGATAAGGACATATATGTAATACCTTAATCTATAAAGAAAAAAAATGAAAAAAAATGAATGAAAGATAAAATATATCCTTTAGCAGGCATTCACAGGCTGATAGCCAGAAAAGCATACTTCCACTTTTAAATCCACATTTAGCATTCTCATTATTGATAAATGTTAAGTTTCTTGCATGCTTAGTGATTATGAGTCAAATTGAACCTGCTAAACCAGAGTTAAAAGGATAAAAGTCCATTTTGAAACAGACCAGAAGCTGAGTTTGTGAGGAACCCACCGAGGTAGAGATGCCCTATAATATTCTAGCACATCAACTTGCCACCTGTTGTTTTATTGTCACCCCCTACAACAGGATCTTCCTGATACACGATGACTATTTTTACAGCTGTTTTCTTTGGCAACCATATACATGATCACAGGACAATAAGAAATTTATTTAAAAAATGAGATAAATATCCTGGTGTATAGAGAAAAAGTCAAGGTAAACCTTTGACAAGACTGAAACTCTAATTTATTACATGTCTCATAGGTCTCTTCTGGTGATTCTGGAGCCAAACCTCTGATCTTCACATTTGTCCCCACTGTCAGAAGACTACCAACCCACTCTCAGTTGGCTGACACCTCTAAATTCCTTGTTAAAATTCCTGAGGAACCAAGTGATAAGAATCCAGAAACTGTAAATAGGGTAGGATTATTTTTACTCTTTTTTATATCCAGCAAATAACATTACATTATCCAAACTAATGTCTTAGAAGTTTGAATGAATGTTTATTTCCTCCGCTTAAAGAGAGATGACTAAGAAATCTAAGGTTGACTAAAAATATAATTATGTAACAGAAACTTAAATGTAGTCTAATCCCAGGTTCTCTCTAATACATTATTCTAACCCTTTTGAGTTGATATGTTATTACTTGCCTCCTGCCACCTCCCCTTCTCTAAAATGTATTTTAAATTATAAAAACAAAATTAAAAAGTTTATATTTATTTTGAAAGAAAATACAAGATAAAATAGTGAGGTGCTACTAATGATTGGCAACATTATAAAAGTCTAATACCCAATGTTGGGACCATTGTGGGGATATTCACATGGCTCACATTTTGTTGCTAGTTATGTGAATATGTACAATTTTGGTGGAAAACCTTTATCCACTATCATAAAACTGTTCCTAGCCTTTCAATAACCTGAGTCTTTGAAATGTATCCCCAAAAATAGGACAAAAATAGAAAAATGTTATGTAGAAAAATATTTAGTAAAAAATAAAAACAGCATAATACCAGAAAAGTTAAGAATATGATAATACCTCACCTTGACAAACTTATAATTATGGTGATTATGTAAATCCATGGAAAATGTTAACCTTATTATGTCACAAAATAGGTTATAAAATTGCATTTATACCCTGATTATACCTATCTAAAATGCGACCAAGACTGAAAATAAAATGAAGACAAAATGGACAAAAACCTGAAAATGACTTGTATTAGAAAAGTAAATGATATGTGTGTTAAAAAAATCTCCTTAAAATGTGTTTCAATATTGTCTTATTTTAAATAAAATGTGACTGGGGAACTTTGTGGTGTTCTTGAGCCAACTGGAAGGGCATAAAATAATCTGATTTACTTTTTATTAAAACATCTTAGCTAGCAAGTAGTAAAATATCTGGGATTCTGGGCATTTCAATGCTATCTTATTTCAAAGACCATTGGGGCCAAATTATTTTAGAAAAATTCTGAATATTGCATAAGGCACTTCTGGGAAGTTTCTAATAATAGTCAACTACATATAATATATTCATGGGTTCCTTTGTTGTTAGGCACTATGATTATGTGAGACTGTAATATATGAACCAGTTTTGGTTGCAAATCTCCAAAGCTTCCTAGGATGATGATAATCACCTGATGTTTGCAATGATACACACAGAACTACATTGTTAAAATGAGATTAAAGTTTTTTCTTTCTATTTTTAAATAGTTCAGTATTATAATCAAACAGGATAAATAATGCCTCATTTTTCTATGTTTCACAACTATTTACTGAGTGTGTTACATGCTTGGTGTTGTGTATTCTGAGTGAATCAAGTCAACTCATAACTTAATTGTTATTGGGAATGCAGGCAATGAAAAAACTGAAAAATATATAATAAAGTCTCAAGTAGTGATAAATGCTGTAAAAATGCTTCAGAGTAAAGGAATAGAGAATGATAGACAATGGGGGAATGGGCTATTTTAGATCATTAAAAATGTTTTCAAACACTATTTCAATTTTTTGCCAGTTTTTTAGTTAATCCATTACTTTTCACAATAAGAAATTTGTCATTGAATACTTCTATTTTTAATTTAAACTTCCTTCCAATTTGGGGGTGTGTGCTATTATAGAGCATTGTAATTAATATGTGAAGTGACGATTATCAGAGAAATCCTAATCAGAGGCAATTTGTATTTTATCTTGACTATACCAGCACCAGCTGAAAAGTGTGAAATGGGTGTGTAAAGTCAACTCCTTAACTTAGTTTTACCTAATCAATGATTTGACTTCTATTCTGTCTTTATACACACAGAACACATACACACATATTATCACACATTATATTGATGACCATAGTTGAAATTATTTCAGTTTAATTAGCATCTTCTTTAACTTCTATTTTGAATAATTTTAAACTTAAATAAAAGATTAAAAGAAGAATATTAACCATAGTATGGTTATCAAAACCAAGAAAATTAACATTGGGTCTTTTAAATACAATCTTAGCATACACAACTACTGTCATTTTAGAACAAAGTGTTTTGGTAGTATGGTAAAGCTGTCTTACATTTGGTCTTATGAGCCTTCTACATATTCATAGAAAATTGGATGGGAAAAGATATAGAATTACAAATCCAAAATAAAATAACAATAAAAAAAATACTTTGTACTGAAAATACCTTTTTTAGGTGTCCTATTCACATGTTCTTCCCAATTAGCTTAGATTGTTTTGTCTGAATGTCTGTGAATTTTGTTCCAATTTAAATTTTCCTCTCAGATTTTTAGAGAGATTTATATTATTTTAGAACGTTTCAATGGGATTTCCTCTCTCCCCCATTTATACAGACTATACAGGTTTTGCTTGACCATTAGCTAAATCCTGTACCAGTCTCCCTTTGTTTCATGAATGTCTTCATGGAAAACATTACCCTCTTCATCTCTTTTTACAAAGTCATCTCATGATTTATTTGAAAGCAGGCTTGTTTGTTGATGTTGATTCTGAGGCCTTCAGTGTTTGAGTTTGGACTAGGACAAATAGGTGGGCTAGTAAAAGTAAACTGCTAACTTCAACCTAATCTTTCTTCAGCTAACCTGATTTTTAAATATATTTTTAGAAATTCTTGCCTTTAAGCAGGCTATGCTTTTAAGTGTACATGCAAAAAAGTAGCATGTATCAAACTGATGTCAATGCTTTTATTTATTGCAGTCTAATTTCAGTGAGTACTTGACCTTGAAAGCTGGGAGCCAACAGCAGAGAGACGGAGGGGCATTGACTTATCCTTCAGAGGTCAGCGGAAAGATAGCACAAGTAAGGGAATTTAAAGTGAACGAACCCCAAGGAATGCAGCAAAGTGGCCTCTTCAAAGCTGAATATGTCTTTATTGTGGACTCTGAAGGGGAAGATGAAGCTACAAGCAGAAAAGTTGAACAAAGCCCCCCAGGGGGGATGGGCACCACAGCTACTCGGCCTACATCTCTAGCAATCTCCTCCAGTCTGGTCTCTGATGTGGTGCGTCCCAAAACAAGGGCAACAAACCTCCAGGCCCCATCACATCCTGAAATGCCTCATGGGATGGCTTCTCAACAAAAGCATGGGCAGGTAGGTTTTTCTTCTTATAAGAAAAAAATATTGTTTATATACCCTTTGTTCTAGACTGTTCCTGGTCAAGGCATAAAATGCTCTTAAAGAAAAAGATATTATAAAACCAAAATCTCATGATCAGAAATCATCAAGGTGTAAATGTAGGCAGTAAATTTATAAGACATAAAAGATTATACAATCATACTGTGAATTGGCTGAGGAGAAAATGTGAAATCTTTAGTTGGAGTGGATTTCAGGAAACACTACCTCTTCCTTTTGAACAATTCTTGGGAAGGTTGATAATGGGAGTTTCTTAGGAGAGAGTGCTTGGTGAGCTGGGTGCTTCAAGAGGCACATTGAAAATAGGAGAAGCATCCAATGAGAAGACATCAGTTGGATTTTAGATATAAACATATTGCTTTCAAACTAGGAAAAGAGTAGTAAAGGGTACAGTAGGAAATAAAAGTGTATAAGGAAAATAATTTCCCCCTGTATGCCATAAGGGAAATATCCTGGAAGCCACCAGGGTGGGACTGGCCTCAATAAAATGGGGAGAAGATCCCATCCCATAATTTAGCAGCAAGATTGAATGATTTCTTTAAGGTGGACAGAAAGCCTTTGGTACAGTAGAAGACTGATGTCTGTGATGGCAAGAAAAAAATATCAAGGAAAGAAAGGGAGGGATTTTGAAGGGGAAAATAGGAAGATTTTGCCATTGACTGTCTATTTGTTGTAATAAAATTATTAAATGACTTTAACAAAGTGTAGGTAGAATGTCAGGAAAGCAGAGGCTGGCTTTGGAGTAAATAGTGAATGGAGAGTTGCCCTTGACAGTGAGCGTGGGTGAGTACCAAGATGTCCTGCTTAGGATCTATCAGACCAGAATTTGGGAGCATCCCAAAGTAGTTGGGTGAACGTTATTGATGAACTGGACTTTTGGTTGGACTTTTGGATCTATGCAGAACCGTAGAGTAGGCATCTTATTTTTGGTGCCACCCATCTTTATTTCTGTGCTTTCACTTGCTTGCTGTATTTATATCTCCATCAAGCATCCAGTATCCTTATGCTATCTTTTGGTGATAGAAGACTCTTTCTGGGCTATCTCTACCCAGGATGACTAGACTAAAAATAATTATTTCTTCTTGAAGTTTATTCTCAGCTAGTTATTGGAAATATTCTAATCACACAATTAAACATATTCTCAGTAAGTGGTGATAGGTGTAAATTTTTTTTTTTAACTCAGGGAAGATGATGGAATAACCAAGTAGGAGATGTGAGGGTTTCCATAGTCAGTAGAGGGTAGTTTGATGGGGCCCCTTTGAAAAAGAACATGCAGGTGTGATGATACCAGATATAAATAAAGAAAAATGTTCTTAATGAACAATTTTTAGCAATTTTTAAAATTTACTTTTTTCCCCCAGTTGATATATTTCTTCCCAAATTAGTCATTTATTTTGTTTTCATGTGACTAAATATGTAGAGGTCAAAGTGGATACTAAACACACACTTTAGAAACTTTTTCCAGCATAGGTTACCTCAGAGGTCATAGTTCATGTTATCAGAGCTCCATCGGAAAGGCAAAGCTCAACCTTATTCATTAGCGGTGGCTGAAAATGATGGTTACCACTAATGGAGGAGTTCTGAATCCTGAAATGTTTGGGAATAACCATTGTTCCTGTTTCCACTTTCCTTAATAATTCATTTAAGTGGTGAATAGTAGATCATCATGAAATAAAAAAAGATGAATTAAAAATAAGAGGACTGTCACACACAAATTTAAACTAAAGAAAAATGACCAGAGCATGAAAGAAGACACTCCAAAATAAATTTGATGCAGTCAGTAGTAGAAGTTTAATGTAAAAATTCTAAAGACTATCCTGTGATTGGATTACTTGATGCCAACAATAGCAATTTTTTTAATATATTTTATTGATTTTTTACAGAGAGGAACGGAGAGAGATAGAGAGCCAGAAACATCAATGAGAGAGAGAAACATGGATCAGCTGCCTCCTGCTCATCCCTACTGGGGATGTGCCCACAACCCAGGTACATGCCCTTGACCGGGATCGAACCTGGGACCTTTCAGTCCGCACGCCGACGCTCTAGCCGCTGAGCCAAACCGGTTTCGGCAACAATAGCAATTTTTCAATCAGAAATGCAGTTAAGTGATTTTCTGTTCAACTTGGTGAAAATGAATCCATATATAGGATTGTCTATAAATTAGCACTATTAGTCATAAGTATTTATTAGGCTATTCCTAAAAAAATGTCTTTAGTTATTTGTTTGGAATTTAAGCTTTTCATGACCTAACCTACATGTCATTTTCTACTCACATCTTGTACCTCTCTTCTTCAGTTCTCCCAAATTATCACCAATGTTCACACTTCATACCTTTTCATCCCCGAGCTCTTGATTTCTCTGTGTGATGCTTCTTTCTTCCCCAGACCCAAGGCCTTTTTGGCCCAGGCTACTTGACACTGTAAGTGCAGCTCAAGTAGCACCTTTCCCTACACATTCCCTTTGAAGGTGGGTTAGTTTTGCTTTTTCATATTTGTTGGGTATTTTTTTTATAGTTTTGTAGCCTCTTCAATGCTTATAATAATTGATTTTATCTTTCTTCTTCACTAGACTGAGAATAACTTGAAGTTAAAGTCTATCTCCTGTTTATTTCTGTATCCATAGCACAGAGTGTAGTGTCTTGAACATAGGTGAAATTCAATAAGGTGTATGAAAGAAAAATATTTGGAAGTTTACATCTTTGAAGTTTTTTTTCTCAGATATTGACTCCTTCATGAAGTCTGCTTTGGTTCTTTCAGTGAAAGCAAACTCTCCCTCAATTTAATTCTGATAACCTTTTCCCCTGAACATTTTTTATTATAATTATCCAATTACAGCATGTGTTATAACTATGTAGATTTGTGCCTCATCTTCCCTAGCAGACTATAAATTATTTATAGGTAAAGACCCTGTTAAAATAATTTCTATTAAACATTTTGTTCCCTATAGTAGTTACTGTGTTATCTTGAACATAATCAGTATAAATATTGGGTTGAGTTTATTGTTGTTTGAAGTATTTTTGTTGTAGTGGCATATAGAATTTCAATTTTAAAGTGTAAGTAAAAAGTAAAAATGCTATGTAAGCAGTTGAATTAAAATCCTCATAAATAAAATTCACAAAAAAGTATTGTTTTTGAATGTTGGTGTAAAGGTGTAAGAATTGTCTTACCTAGGGATAGTATTAGCATTCAAAGGGAGGTAATATACACATACAAACACGGAGTGATTTGTCTGAAAGGCCTATGATAAAATCTGTGAATAAAAAGACAAACTTATGGGGTAGAGTTAATTGGATTGTTTTATTAGAAAAAGTAACAATGCATGAATTTATAACTAAGGAAATTAGATAAATGTTGGATTAACTGGGGAAAGAATAACAGGTATTGGGAAGGGATAGGAAGAGGTAAGATGTTCAAGGATAGCTTGAGATGCCTTGGAAGCATGGCATGATGATATCTAAAAGGAAGGTAGGAGTATGAATATGGAACACAGGAGAGAGCTGGGAGACTGGAGATACTTGCTGCATAAATTAAAACAATGAGAATGGATATATATATATATATATTTATTCTTTCCTGGAGAGAATATAGAACAGAAAGACAGAAGATACAAGTCAGGAAACAGTAAAATATAAAGAGCCTGTGGAATTAAGGAAGCCACTGAAAGAGGCTGAGAAGGGACCAAAGAAGCTGGAGAGAGGGGTTCATGCAATGGAAGCTAAAGGGGCTTCCAACAAAAAGAGTGGAATATGAACAAGGTTATATACCTAAATATGTAATATTTAGTTAAATTTATTGATTTTTTAAAGGTAGCTCAGTCATTTTTTTTATAGAATTCAAATGAATATGATATCAATCATATCACCTTGGGAAAGCAAAATAATAATCTACACTAATAAAAGAGAAACATGGTAATTAGCGTATGACCGCTACCCTTTTCATTGGCTAATCAGTGAGTATATGCAAATTAACTGTCAGCCAAAATGGCGGCAGGCAGCCAGGCAGCTGGAAGCGAACATGAGGCTTGCTTGCTGCAGTGAAGGAGGACTCCAACGTTCCCCGCCTGCGCTGCCGGCCTCTGAGCTGGCAGTTTGAAACTTTGTAACAAATATAGCCAGCCGGGATCTCAGAGCTGGAGTTATTCATTGTTTCGATTATAGAACGCAAACAAACCAGCGGAGGCCTCAGAGCTAGAACCAGAGTTAAAGCTGGCCCAGAATAAAATAAAAAAAAGAGAAAAAAAGGAGCGGTTGGGAGCTTCAATCAACAACCGCCAGCCTGAAAGCAGCCCTCAGCCCCTCACCCAGACTGGCCAGGCACCCCAGCGGGGACCCTCACCCTGATCCAGGACACCCTTCAGGGCAAACCAGCCGGCCCCCAGGCCTCTATCCTATATAGTAAAAGGGTAATATGCCTCCCAGCACCGGGATCAGTGGAGCCTCGAGGCCTCCTGGCACCAGATCAGCGTGACAGGGGGCAGCGCCCAAACCCCCTGATCACCCTGCGACTCTGTGTGTGACAGGGTGCAGTGTCCCAACCCCCTGATCAGCCCTGCTCTGTGACAGGGTGCGGCGCCCCAAACCCCCCGCCTCCCCCACAGGCCCTGCTCTGTGTGTGACAGGATAGAGCCATAACCTCTCCATCGGCCCTGCCCTGAATGTGACAGTGGCGGCGCCCCAACCCCCTGATCCGCCCTGCTCTGTGTGTGACAGGGGGCGGTGCCCTAACTCCCCTATCGGCCCTACTCTGTGAGTGACAGGGGGGAGCTCCCCAACCCCTGATGGGCCCTGCTCTGTGCATGACAGGGGGCAGCGCCCAACCCCCTGATTGGCCCTGGTCTGTGCGTGACAGGGGGGGGGGCCCCAACCTCCCCATCGACCCTGCCTTGAGTGTGACAGGGGGCGGTGCCCCAACCCCCCAATCGGCCCTTCCCTGAGCGTGATTGAGGGTAGCATCGCAACC